TCTGCATTCCTGAAAGGCCGAAGCCTCCTCTCAGGCCAGCGTCCAGCCCCTCTCACGTATGCTTTTATCGGGCAGGCCTGGACCTGCCAACCCTATTGTGTCCCTTTCAGGTCAGACACAGCTGAGGGAGCAAAATAAGCCAGCAAATAACAGTGGAGCTGCAATGCTATGAAGGTTGTTTATACCTGTTTACGTCCTCCGTCTCCTGGCGGGAGCATAATTAATAGCTTCTATTGTCATCTTACGATGGATGCGGTTCATAATGCCACTTTGAAGTTAAGCCTTGATTGTATCTGGCATCCTCGGGCTTTATCACTTGTATGAGGTGTGATATTTTTGCTGAGGCTTTTAAAGCCAGCATTTCTGTTTCTGCCTCTCGTATAATCATTTTTAAAGGGGTTATCAAAACCAACAATACTGTCCATATGGCATACTTCAGCAGGCCATGCAGGGTAAAGCAACAGGTAGCCAGCCCAACAGTGGTGAGACCCCCACAAAGCCATGGTGAGACCCCATGGAGCCCTGGTGAGACCAGGGCTCTGTGGGATCTTGCCAGGGCTCTGTGGGATCTTGCCAGGGCTCTGTGGGGTCTTGCCAGGGCTCTGTGGGTCTAACAAGGCTGTTTAGACCCCACGGAGCCCTGCTACCCTGGTGAGGCCCCCTCAAAGCTCTGGTGAGACCCCCCTCTGTATGTGCGTTATAATTAATCGAAATTAGTCGATTAATCGAAATTAAAATTTCGATTAATCGAACAGGAAAATTTTAATCATTACCAGCCCTATAAAATATCAATGAATGATTTTATTACAAAATGAATAAATACATTTCTATAAAGCATTATTTTATACAAACAGCATTTGCGGTAATTGCTTGTATAAACTCAGTATTCACCACAGCAACTTGTAACCTCAACCATGTGTTACCTATCAGTTGACATATCCATTTACAATCTACATCAATAGAAACTATATACTGGAATCCAAGATCAATCATTGCTGCCCAAACGTGCAATCCAGATCATAGGACAGTATAAGCAAATCTACACATTTCTTAGATCAAAGGTTTACTTCTTTAGGAGAAAGTTGGAGGATAGCAACGTTATTTGCTTAATATTTGCATCAAAATGTAGTCTGTACCAAGACAGAATACTTCCTTAGGTTGTGGAGGACTGCAGGGGGGTCACAGGAGGACCCAGTCATAGCTCATAGAATATCTCAGATCAGTAAAAAAAGATTTAGCATGTTAAGTGCATACTGGTGGAGACATCCTACAGCATGCCAAACAGGTTCTAAGATCTGACCAACAATTATTTTATTAGTATAAGATCTTCAAAACCACCATCTTAAGATATCATCATTAGAACTATTGTCAGTACTAGGGATGCACAGATACTTTTCGAGTACCAGTGCAGATACTTGGCATTTTCATGAGAACTACCAGGGTTGCAGCGGTCGCAGCTGGGACCGGACTCTGGTGCTCCACCACTGTCCTGAATTCATTAGTCTGTATTGTTTCAGAAAAACTGTCACTTGACAATAAACAAAAATGTATCAGTACTCGTACTTGTAAGTACTTGGCAAGTACCAGTACTCGTACTCGCAAAACTGGTATCTGTGCATCCCTTTATTTATAAAAACAAAATCATACATTAAAACAGAGATGTACAAATCCCGGGAGCTCCGTGTGCTCCTTACAAATGACAGCGGCCTCCTAATTTTAGAAATTTTCTCTAGTCTAGTCTTGGAGCTGAAAAGTATTGGTATATGTACTCGTACTTGTACCGAGTTCTGTACTTGGTATCTGTGCAACCCTAGTCAGTACTAAGCCACAGTTCCTCCAAATGATTGAAAGAAAGAGGCCTCTTTATTTATTTTAGAGTGGTGGTATTGTTTAGCAAGCATTTGAAGATCTAATACTGTTATCTGAATTGGTGGTCTGAATAGACCCCATCTTTGATGCTGCAGGATGCCCCTGCCAACATGAACTTAACTAACTCATTAGAAGATGAAAATACTTGTGTTTACTGATCTGAGCTATGACTGGGCACTCCTGTCACCCCTTGCAGCCGTTCTCTACTTAAGGGAGTATTCAGTGCAGGCACAGACTGGTTTTAATGCATATATTGGACAAATAACACTAGAATGCTCCCATGTTCTTTTGCAAAAATAGACCTTTTGTATAAGAAATGTGTAAAGTTGCTTGTACCATCCTATATGTCTGCCTATTTGGATTGCACATTGAACAGCCACAATTGATTATGGATTCTAGTATATGATATCTGTTGATGTACAACCGCAATTCCAAAACAGTTGGGACGCTTTGTAAAATCTACATCAAAACAGAATGCAATGATTTGCAAATCTCATAAACTCATATTTTATTCACAGTAGAAAATAGAAAACATATCAAATGTTTAAACTGAGTAAATGTACTGTTTTAAGAAAAAAATAAGGTAATTTTGAAATTGATGGCAACAACACATCTCAAAAAAATTGTTTACCACAGTGCACCCTCCCCTCTTTTTTTACCAATCCTCTGTAAACAAGTGGGAACTGAGGAGACCAGTTGCTGGAGTTTTGGGAGAAGAATGTTGTCCCATTCTTGCCCGATATATACTATTCTAACTGCTTAACAGTCCTCGGACTTCTTTGTCATATCTTACGTTTTAAGATGTGCCAAATATTTTCAGTTGGTGAAAAGTCTGGACTGCAGGCAGGCCAGTTAAGCACCCGCACTCTTCTACTACGAAGCCATGCTGTTGCCATAGATGCAGTATGCGGCTTAGTATTGTCCCCCTGAAAAAGACATTGGGGGTGATTTACTAACCTAAACACACGCACGCACCAGGTGCGTGTGATTTTTACACTGCAAAACGTATTTATCAACCAAAAAGTCTCTAAAAGTATATTTCCACTAATGCCATATATGGAAAAATCATCACATGATGCATATATAATGCTGCTTCACAGTTTAGACAAAAATGGTTAGCTCATGCATTTACATTCCTGCATTCATCAACGCAAGCAACACAACATAGAGCTAATTTACACAACATCACCTTGCAATTCATGCTTGGCTTTGCACAACACACCTGCTGGGTGTGTACACACTACAAAGGTGTTTAGATTCCACCCATAGATCATGCTGGGAGGGAACACACTACAGAGGTGTATACATGTTCGTGGTGTGTTTATAAGGTTAGTAAATCAACCCCATTGTCTGGATGGGAGTATATGCTGCTCTAAAACCTGGATATAGCTTTCAGCATTGATGGTGCCTTTCCAGATGTGCAAGTTTCCCATTCCATAGGCACTTATGCACCTCATACCATCAGAGATACCGGCTTTTGAACTGAGCACTGATAAGATGCCAGAAGGTCCCTCTCCTCTTTAGTCCAGAGGATGCCGTGCCCATGATTGCCAAAAGGAATGTCACATTTCAATTAATCTGACCACAGAAGTAGAACAATTACACTTAGCATCAGACCATTTTAAATGAGCTTTGGCCCAGGGAAGACAGCGGCGTTTCTGGATCATGTTCAGATATGGCTTCTTCTTTGCATGATAGAGCTTTAACTTGCATTTTTGGATGGCATGGGAACTGTGTTCACAGATAGTGATTTTTGGGAGTATTCCTCAGCCCATGCAGTTATATCCATCACAGAATCATGTCTGTTTTTAATGAGGTGCCATCTAATGAGGTGAGGGCTCGAAGATCACGGGCATGCAATACTGCGTTTCGGCCTTTTCCCTTGTGTACAGATATTTCTCCAGATTCTCTGAATCTTTTAATAATCTTATGTACTGTTCGTAATTGTTCGACAAATTTTAGACACAGCTTTTCACAGATTGGTGAACCTCTGCCCATCTTTATTTCTGAGACACTCTGACTCTCCAATAAGCTCTTTTTATACCCAATCCATGTTACTGACCTGTTACCAATTAAATTAGCTGCACAATGTTTTTCCAGCTCTTCCTTGTTAGTACCACTTACTTTGCCAGCTTTTTGTTGCCTTGTCCCAACTTTTTTGAGACATGTTGCTGTAATCAATTTCAAAATTACCTTTTTTTTTAATGGTACATTCTCTCACTTTAAACATTTGATGTTTTCAATTTTCTATTGTCAATATAATATGAGTTTAAGAGCTTTGCAAATCATTGTATTCTGTTTTTATGTAGATTTTACACAACGTCTCAACTTTTTGGGAATTGGGATTGTAGACTGTAAATTCATCCATCAACTCATAGGTAACACCTGGTTGAGACTGGGAGGTGCTATAATGAATACAGAGTTTGTACAAAAAATTACAATAAATGAATGGTTTTAGAAATGTAAATATTAATTTTGTAAAAAAAATCATAGACTGTTATTTTAGAAGAAATTGATGTGTAGACTTGATAACTATTGATGCCTTAAAAATCCCATGAGAGTTACTTGTGTCGAATATAATAAAAGTTGACTCCAACTCTTACTGATCTTCTGCTGCAATATTATCTATTACCCTCACATATCTTTCAGTCTGCCTGTAATTTTAGTAGGCGGACAAAAAACAAGATAATTTTCTGATTTAAACTCTTAAATGCATAAACCTTACAAAATCAGTAGGATACTGCAAAGGCATATTTTCTTTGGCTGTAGCACTGTTTGTATTTACTATCTCACGTCTGGTCAGAGAGCTGATCAACCAATAGGGTTTCACTATTTAGTTTAGTATTGCTGTTGAATAATTGATTAAATTATGAATGATAGCTCGGATTTCCCAAGTGCCTTAATTTTAAAGACCTCAATTTACCCTCTGACCAAAAGTTAGAAAGGAAAAAGATGTTTCAAGTGCAGTAGGTTTTGCAAACTATATCCTTATGACAGGAAATTAGCAAGAAAAAATTATGAAAATTTGCTTTTCCGCTTCTAAATTTATAAAGTAATTATGGTAAATCAAAATGAAGCAAGCACTCATAGCTTATTCATATATAATATAAAAATGTATTATTTATCCCCAGATATAAAGATTACCGAGAACCTCCGTGGTCTCTGGACCAATATGACTTTTCCAAGCAATATTGGACGGTTCTAGCTGTACGACTGGCATTTGTTATACTCTTTCAGGTAAATATATTATATGAAAGCATGTATTTAACTACTTCCAAAACTCAACTTAAAGGGTCAGTCCATTTAAAAGTGATATTTTCCCTTCTAGAATGATTTTAGAGATTGAATCTCCTGGTGGCTTTTTATAGCTCTTGGGGTCTCCAATTGTGGGATCTCTCCACCATAATCCTTACAATGCATTTTACTCCTGTTGTATTCCCCATAACATAGAACAAAAAATCTAAATCCAATAGGATAAAATGTAAACATCAATGAGAATTTCTGTTCAGGCAAACCTTATGCCTTTCTTGTGGTGATGTTTGGCTGATTTCTGACCCCATGGGAAACAATGTGGTCCAGGCAATATTCCAAATATAAGCAAATAGCAGTGGTTAGCACTTCAAATCCCGGTCAGGACACTATCTGCAAGGAGTTTGCCTGTAGTCTCTGTGCTTGGGTGGGTTTCCTCCATATACACCAGTTTCCTCCCACACTCCAAAGACATGCTGGAAGATGAATTGGCTCCTGTCTAAATTGGCCCTGTATGTATGCATGTGTGGTAGAGACCTCCGATTGTAAGCTCCTTGAGGGCAGGGACTGATGTAAATGTGCAGTATGTAAATCGCTGCGTAAATTCTGGGCGCAATATAAATACCTGTACTACATAAATAAAATCACTTATAATGGTAGAGATTTACATATATACATAAATGGCCTGGAAAACAGTAATAAAGTTCTGAAGCCAAATTGGCCATTGCCAAACATGGAGCCTCAGGTGAAACCAGTTGAGATAAACTGTGAAAAGCACCAAACATGTAATCCAGTTAACATGTAGCTGTAATATATTTTGACTTTAATGATTAAAAAAGTTATTTCAGGCAACGTGTTTCAGGAATGCTAGAATGCTCCCTTCCTCAGGGCTACTGGCAAAGAACATAAACATGTTACATAATTATTGATTTGTTTATCATTTTTATATTCTTTGTCTATATATCCAAAGAAGGTGGATTCCAAGACCGCCTGAAATACATTGACTTCTAACTTATTTACTTTGGATTTTGTTTGTGGCTCTCTTGTATCTTGATTGGTTTTACCCAAGGCTTCGTGCCTGTCAATGATGACCCTGGCTTTGGATCTTCCTTATTGAGAACATTTATCTAGATCTGTGAATCTCCACCATTATAACCGATACCAACAGATGAACACCTGGCAGGACAAACAAAACAGAAACTTAGAGTGCATCACATAGCCTAGCTTTGGGTCTTTGAGTCATGCCTGATTGTCTCTCAGGTCCAATCAGAACTGAAGGGAGTAGGGTTCAGGGGCCACAAGAATCCTCTCCATGCTGCTGCACTACACATCACTCAAACAGGTGGCCCTACTGTGGTGTTCTCTCTACACATCTGCCATGTTTTAATAGTGTCACCTGGCAACCAATACAGACCACTTATATAAAAAAAACGGACCACTTAACAGCTGGTATTAATGTTTAATATTTTAAAGACATTTCTTTTGGGATTTCCTAAAGTACAGCGCCTCTTCTTTTATTTTTCAGTTTGCCTTTTGTTTTTATTTAAGCGCCACAGTCAGTTTTTGAATTTGCTGTAGTTTTTCTTTTCTTTTAAACAAATCATTTGGAGGTGTCTGAAGATTTATTGCTTCATTAGCAAATTTTCTCATTAGATCTCTCAAATAAAAAGTTTCATTAGCTGGAATCTTGTGTATAAGACAACAAATCCGCAAAACAGCCCAGGAACCACAACCATCCCCGGAATGATTGGGGACAATTAGCATTTGGCACCAACTTTCAGTTACATTTTATGAATTGAATAGTTCTGTGCTCTTGTGTCTTGTGAAATCTTCTTACAGGTCTGTGCTTACTTGTAGAGGCTTTGTCTGCAGACATGTATTTAAACATCTGTTGTCATAAGCACTGAGAGATGCCCAGAAAAATGGCATGCTGTGCAGGTCACTGCCAACACACACAGTATCCTATAAAACAAAGAAGCAATTGAATGTTGTGGCTTTATCTATAGTAAGCAGAGAGGTTTCTGAGAGTTATAGAAATGTGAAAAAGGGAAACCGGCCTGTTATCTTTATCAACCACCCATCATGTTATGTAACTATATCAACCACCCATCATGTTAATTATGTAACTATAAAGCTTAATTTGCCTACCATTGTACTAGGACAATGGCACCTTCAATAAGGACAACAACTCCGATCTTTCTGAAATTTTCAAAAAAATTCAGTTTGATTGCATGAACGGAGTTTGACCATTTACATATGTAGGTGATCAGATTTCTGGAAAACAGACTCATGTATGCTTCAGTGAATTCCTGTTTGATCAAAATCTAAATCCCCTCTAGATTATTATAATTCATGGACCAAAACTAACATTTCAAGATAAATATCATTCAAATATTAATTAAATGTACTACCATTCCAGATAACCTTAATATCCATAATAATTTAAAATGAACATTGCGGAGCTGTTGGTTGCTGCATTTTGCATACATTATTTTAACCCATTATTTTAAAAAGCATATTCAGTACATCTCTGTAATACACGCATATTCCCCAAGATTTATGCAAGTAAAGAAAAAATACCTGTTAATTTGCCAAAAATCCAATTAGCTCCTAACTTCCTGTTTGAGCTGACAGCAAAGAGCTTCTGCTGCACTGAAATCCCCGTTCACTTCTCCCTTGCTGTGCTACAGAAACCTCCCCCTTCCTCATCTCTTTAACATAGTATTTAACAATTTAAAATAAAACTGACCGTCAACCATTAGTTTCTCTTTAGCTTCCTTACAATAAACTGACAATGATTTTTGATATTTTTAAGGCTTATTGCACTTAACGCTTTCTTCTTTGCCCAACTGAGTGAGCCTATAAGTTAAGTAAAAAGTATCTTCCAGAAATTGAATGCCATGGTTAAGCTTACACTCCACTTTGCCAGATAAACCTAATCACAGACATCTGTTTCTGAGTGCAGCAACTCATTTGCATACAATTACCTACAATCACCAGTTTTTTTTTACCAACTGCATTATGAGCCCTTCAAAGGAGACATTCTAGGCTGTTTTCCGACAAAATGTCTCATTGAAATCAGTGAAATACAAGAAGGTAAAATGATTACTAATCAACTGAGAGCTCCAGAGGTCACTAGAAAGGACATTTCTGATTGCTATAATAGGCTTTGTTTTTTGGAGCGTGAGGAAAAAGTGATTTAGAATAGTCAAAATAAATTACAGAAAGAATAAAGCACAGTTACCAACACCATTAAATAGGCAATTTTAGTGTAAGTTAATATTATATTTGTTGTTTTTATGTAGTAAAACACAGGAATTTCTACTCCGTATCCTTATTGGTTGACAGCCCATCCCTCTAAAGCAAACTTACTACAAAACTTTTAGGGAATACATTTTCCAGGATCAAAACGTACATGTGTCTTTGGAAATCATTTGGCTATTCAATTCAATGAACCAGTGCCCATGCACAAGCAGATCTGGGGCACTTAAGACTTCTCCTCACAGTTAACAGCCCAGATATACCCAGATAACAGATATAGCTGGTTCAGAAGATGGTGCACACTTATATTGTGCAGAGGACAATAGAAATGTAAATGGAGAATTACATGCAGACACCAATGCAGTCCTCAAACATTTTCTTCAATCCTGCCTAACCAATATCCAATACTTACTGGGCAGGAAAATCTGACGCAGCCCACACATGTGCCAATTCTAACCAGGGAAGGTCTAAAGTGTGCTGTCTTTGCAAGTGATGGTTTGGATTAAGTAAGGATGGGTCATGTCTCCTTTTAAGTTTATCCTTTATACTGTGACTTCATTGAGGATGTGAGGGGCAATCTTCAAACTGGAACACAGGTAGCAATAGAAACCTGAAAAATACCCCTTTTATGCGAGCGCCTGTCAGTTCTGATGAGCAGGTCATCTGTGCACGGATGCCCTGCTGATCAGAGCAGTTCAGAATGGATGCCACCATTGTGACATCCCTGCCCATCCAGTATTTTCTTCCATCTTACTATGAACTTAACAGACCCATGTTAGATCTATGTTGAGTCAGATGAAAGCGGATATGTGTCTGTTTACATCAGATTACCACTAATTCATCACAATCAAGTCTGCCAAAACAGAACCCTGTTCTGTTTGGTTTTCCAGACCTGGACAGAGCTGGGGGTAATCGGATGTAAACATACGCATGTCCATTTAGATCTGGCTGCCCATATATTAACATTCCAATGGCTTCCAATCATATCCCTCTTAAAAACTGACAGGCTGAACCACTCATCTGAAAGGGCCTAAGCCTTCTGCTATTGTTTTCATTGTTGTCTGTGTCCCTATTGGAGACATTTTGCTTACCTATTGCTCCAATGATCACAGAGGACATTAAAAAAATCCCCCCACTGGGGACAGACCAGTAGCAAAAACCTGAAAGATGGCCACTGGACCCAAAACAAAAAAAAACAAAAAAGTTTGGCTTGAATTTCACTGTAATCTAGATTTGTATAACCCATATCTCAATTTCCTCTTAGAACCTGGTTATGTTCTTGAGCGCGGTGGTGGACTGGTTAATTCCCGACATTCCCAAGGACATCAGCGAGCAAATCAAGAAAGAGAAGAGCTTGATCGTGGACGTCTTCCTCAAAGAGGAACACAAAAAGCTCCAGCTCTTAGAGAACTTTATTATGCACGACAAACAGCGAGCAAAGACGGAGAACAAGGGGCGGCGGAGCCGAGCTGCAAGCTTCTGCCAGTTCAGCCGCAGCCAACGTGGCAGTTTCACATCATTCAGTTCACACCACACTGACGTGTGACTCCTCTTGAGCTTGCTAGGCAAGCAGTTAAGAAAATACATATACAATCAAAGCCTATAATATTCAAACTGGAGATGGAAGGACACGTGGAATGGCAGACTGCGATGAAGGCAGACAATTTTAAAAAGTTCATTTTACCGCAAACGTCTCCAAAAGCAGGCTTTGTAATCTATAACCAATAGTCTGGTGCTCAGTATGGCACAGAAAGGCTTAAGTACCACTTGGTACAAAATTATTCCTGCTGCTCGTAAAATGCATGTGGCTACCAGGCACAAATACAGGGCAAGGAGTAGGAGCATAATAAGGCCATGACGTTTTGATTTTCATTTTGAATTTATTTTTTTTACAATTAGTTCTAGCCAAGCTCATAAATTGTTCATAAGCAATGACTTTAAAATCATGTGACAACTCTTAAACACTGCACGTTACAGAGAACCCTGCTGCTGTGCTTAAGACAGTGTAAGCGTATCAATATTTGTTGAGTCACACAATCGCTAGACTGCACATTGTACTCAAAAGCATATTTTTTATTTTTCAATGAATTAAAATAAAAAAATAAAAAGTTTATATCTTTTATTGAAGCTGCTCGACTTAAACAAAAACAAACAAAAGGAATGTATATCGTTAAATTAAATTGTTTTACTGGGAATGCGTATCTTTGCTTTAACTAACTTCCTCTCTTACTGTTGTGCTCTCCAGATGACATGCAATTTGTGCCCTCTTAATTGTGCGTGTATAGCTGGGTGCTCTTGAAAACGTTTTGAATGTATAGCGCGAAGAATCACAATCTCAGGGCTTATTTTATATTGTTTGTTCTTTAAGATGACGTATCAAGGATGCTTTTGGAATCTTTAAATCATTAAATCACATCTAAACGATCCAACGTCAAATTGTAACCAACAAATCCTGTTTCGGATACTGATGAAAGAAAGACATGAGTGTATGATCAGAGGTGATAATAAACTTCTTTTTCTTGAGTGGTGTTTTAGATGTATTTTTTCTTTGAAGGTAAGAGTGACTTTTATTGGTAAGGGAGTGGGGAGGGGGGCAGGGAGATAAACTGTAAATTAAAGCTAAACTCCAGGCAGGTATGAAAGATAAAAATGAATGCAGCACTCTATTTATGAAAACTCATTAAATGTATCATTGTTAATAAAATGAGTATATGTACATTAAAGGGACATTAAAGTCTACTCCTCCCCCCAATGCTGCTGTAAAGACTTACCTTAAAGGAGTACTATGGGGTAAGTGTTTTTCCCCATAGTTCTCCTAAGGGTCACGGGAGGACACAAACTAGCGTCCTCCTGTGACCCAAAGCTTAGTATACCACGAGCTGGTGCCAGTCTCTGATCCAGCGCAGACTCCTCTTTTTTCCTGTCCCATGGAGTCTGTCCGACGTGCACACTCACGACTGCGTGCATTGACTTACACTGTAGCTCTCCTCTTCTCCCTGCCGGTGATCTCCACTGCGCATGTGTCCGCACACATCCTCCTGCACGGCCGCTCGAGAAGCTGGATTCTACAACTGGGAGCGAGCGGAGGAGACACAGGTAAGTTTTTTTCCTTTTTGGTAACTTTTAAATTTTTTTAATAGTTTTTACATATATCTACTGCACGCTAGCAGTAGATATATGTAAAAAAAAAAAGACTTTAATATGACTTTAACTTGGTATCAGCCTCTTATGTTGACAAGGAACGTACAGATAGAAGGAGAGAACAGAGTGAGCAAAAGAATGACCTCATCAGTCTGCTTCTGCTCTTTTACCCTCTTGTCAGAAGGCTGGGGATGAAGAGAAGATACTACTGCAGTCTTTAACTGTAAAACAGGCCATACTGGAGGCAATTTTTGATCCACCAGAAAATGCAAAAACAATGGTAAGTAACCATCCGAAAGTAAGCATGCTACCACCCATGAGTTTGATCGACCACCAGAATTTGGTCCATTGCCAAGTCAAAACTGAGCAACCAATGACAGTTTCAATAGGTTCAGTTTATTAAAAGATCAAATTGAAATGGAATCAAAACTGGAAAGAACTATGGAAATGTTGCCAAAACCATTTTTCTTTTACTGTATTCAGTTGGGACAATTTTGATCCAATCTACTTGTGATCCAAACCATCATTTTATGTCTTTGTGATTGTTTTGCAATTTTAACAAAAAAATGGAAATAGAAAATTGGATTGATCTATTAAATTGGTATGATTATTGGGAAAGTATAGACCCTCTGTCAAGTTTATATTTGTGTTTGGTGTCCCTGTTGTGGAGCATTGTCTTAATTTCCTGTGAGCATGCCTTTTTTTTATAGAGTGGGGAAAGGTTAAAAGGTCCCTTTTCGTTACAGTCTTTGTTTCTACTGGGGCAATTTATACTTACTTCCTGCCTCAATGATAAGTTTCCCCAGGAGAGGAACTGAACAGAAATTACCCTAGTCAGGGCAAGGACATCAATTAAAATTTGTAAGATGTTTATAACTAGGGATGCATTGATACCGATACCCAGGGCTTGAAAAATTTGACGGTGTCTCACCAATCAGTCAAAAATTTCACCAGTCAGCATGACCGGACTATAGCCTTGCAATTTATGTAAAAAATTTTTAGGGACAGATAGAGCTTTCTTTTGTGACCCCACAGGGGGTTATTTTCTTTTGCACGTAGGCGCACCCGACGCATATCTGCGTGTGTATGTGGGGGCGGGGACTTAAAAAAATGTTTTCTTTTTTAATTTTTTTTATGCTTATTTTTTTTTTTATGATGATTCTTTAATTTTTATATATTTTTTTTAACGCACAACTTTATTGCTATTACATAGGGGGCTATGATGCCCCCTATCTCCTAAGGGTCACGGGAGACAGGTCCTCTTAAGGGAGACATCAGGGGTCTCCAAGACCCCTAATGTCACCTAGGGACCCCCAGATAAGCTGATGAAGCAGAGATCAGCTTCATCAGCTTCTGTAGCTGGAGAGTGCCTCACAGTACCTGCAGGATCTCTGTCGGCCTCACACCTCATGTGTTCTCTGGACCTCGGAAGCCCCTTCCGTCTCCTCACGGCCACACCTCCGTTGCGCCAGGCTGACTGCTGGGTAATGCAGTCCACTGGCCGGCGGCAGCTCTCCTGCTCCTCAGTTCGCCGCGGGCGGCGTGACAAAGGGAAAATGAATGTAAAGCTCCCTGCCGGCCGTTTAATTACAACGGCCGGTCGGGAAGCTACTCGTCCAGCACTGGCGTCCACTCGTCACAGACGAGTGGACGAGTGCATTTTTCGAGCCCTGCCGATACCAGTACTCATACACCAATACACACACATACCAAATGCTCTGATACCTTCCCCAATACCGGAACCTTCAGTCAGAGGAAGATTTCCTCTGACCGGCATTGCCGTAGGGAAACATGGAGCCGGCTTCCTGGGCAATCAGAAAACTGGGCAGTGAGTAATGACCTGCCTCCCGGTTTCCTCATTGGCCGGGAAGCCAGCTTCCCGGCCAATCAGCATAGAGGCAGCCTCCCGGCCAATCAGGAAGTCGGGAGGCGGGCCATTACTCACTGCCCTGCTTCCTGATTGGCTGGGAAGCTGGTTTCCCGGCCAAACAACATGTTGCAGGCTTTCCGGGCAATCAAGAAGTCGGGCAGCATGCCAATACTCGCCGCACGGGTTCCCAATTGCCCGGGAACCCAGCTCTACACCAGAGGAAGCACCAGTATCCGTACTCGGTATCGGCGAGTACCGAAAGCAAAATATCGGTACTCATACTCGATACCAAAAAAACGGCATCGGTTCATCCCTATTTATAACCCTACCACAATCTATCTAAAACAAAATCAAAAACATCTGGCTGGAGTTCCCGTAGACCCTTTTCTATGATTTTTTCTCTTGCTTCAGGTCAGCTAACTTACAATATCCTGAAAACCTAAACTTCCAGTTTATATCTACTGGCTACAGCCAAAGTATGTTTGTTGATTATCACAAAAAGTTAGCTGAACTCTAGGCAGATATAAAAGACATAAATGAATGCAGCTCAGTAATCATTAAGACATCATTAAATGTGTTTATTCAATGCAAGTAGACCAAGTACCTTAATGTGACCTGGTATCAGCCTCTTGCAGTCCCTGTAAAGTAGGGAAGATGCATTACAGGTAGCCAATCAGTTCATGTGCTGAAAAGAAGCATGCTGATAGGAAGAGAAAGCAGAGTGACAGAGAGATAAGCTCATCGCTTTGCTACTTCACCTTTCACTGTCCAGCAACATACAAAAAAACATGATTTTATTTTAGAAACTGACAGGGTCTTTCCAAGAAAATCTTACATGGACTGATTCCAGGGACGATAAACAAGTCTACCAGTGTACTGCCAAGGAGATAAATGTGAGGCATGCAGTTTGATATGAAATAAATTGTACAATATCAAGCTGTTTCTAAAAGGCATTTAGCACCAATCCAAAGAAGCCTAGAAACATTAATTGGAATTCCCCTTTGCAGCTGCAGCTCTAAATGACCCCTAGGGCTCGGGCATGTGCTGTACTACAGCCAAAAGTGTAATATATGCTGGCAGCCTTTGTGGGAGGTTGGTAAATTGTCCAAGGTCAAACACGTTATATACTCCAGGAAGTCCAATAAATATTCCCAAGCATGTTGATGTTCTTATGCAATTAGAGGAGAAGGAATCTATGTAGGTGTTTATAAAGAAAAAAAACATGTCGGGTATATGAACTCCACGCCGCACCAATATCTGTCCGTGCCAGTCAATATTTGTCAGTACCAGTTTGAAAGAAGCTTCACTTCAATAGTATGAGTTGCTGAAGCACCGTGCTCCTTCCGTGACCTGAAGTAGTGACCCATGCAAGTGGAGCTATGGCCACCAGTGAAAAACCATGTTGTGCCATAGTCCAAATTATTATTATTATTATTATAATACAGGATTTATATAGTGCCAACAGTTTGCTTTACAACACGCATGCTGGTATCATATAAACATGCACGTTTATGTGACTAGCAGGCCCTCCAGGA